CTGTTTAAAACTTTAAGATGAACAACTAAAGACTCTCACCTAGACCTTTCGACCAGTCACTCAGGTCTTCCTCAGTAGACTGACCCAGTGAAACTTGTCACGTGGCTTCTTTGACCCAGTGTTGACGTGACACACTTCAAAGAAGTCAGGTGACAAGTTTCACTGGGTCATTTCTACCGAGGAAGACCAGAGTGACTGGTCGAAAGGTCTAGGTGAGAGAACTTTTTGTGTTGGACCAAATGTTTCAACTCTAAACATGTAACTACCAACACGGATGAACTTTCATGATAAGATGTATGAGTATTATACTAACCTGATGTTGAAAACACCTGAACTTCACACAGTGACAGGCAGTCCCTCCGCCCTGACAGCTGAACAGACACCCACCTGCCAGAGATGGGAGTTGTACACTGTATGTCTAGAATTTCTCCGTCTTCTGGGATGTCCGTATAGGTGTCTCCACATTGTTCATTTCTGTTGATGTCCTCGTAATGTCAAACTCGTATCATGAAATCTTTCAGCCGTTCTCCTACAAGGTGTATTTTTTTTTTATTTATTAGCACACACATAATAAAAGTTATACAAAATATTACAATGAAATAAACGTGCAAGGGGTGGAAGAAAAGCCACAAAGGCTTATTTGGTATCCTCCTCATCATGATTTTACAATTTCAACAGTTATATCAAATGAAATATAAATAACAATTAAGAAGTAATGAAAAAGAAAATAAACAAGTACAATGAAATTCAATTTAACAAAATAATCAAGTAATGAAACAATAAGGTGAACCAAGCTAGATAAAGAGGTTTGGCTACAAGCAGATGAAAATATAACAAATCAATAAATGAATCAATAACGATTCAACTTTCAACTTCAACTTTCAACGATTTTAGTGGCTCTTACGATCGCTAATAACATTGTTTTAATGCTTAATAATACCTAACTATAATTAAGTATCAGATAAAAAAACAATGGGTAAAATTAAAAGTATCAGCCTATAAAACAGTGTATGTACAGTAAAACCAGGCAATAAATCAGTTTAACCCTAAACAGTACACCTGGGGTCCGCGCGGACCCCAGCACTATATATTCTGTAATATCTTTTTTGTTTCTAAAGATTTTTTTCTGAAATTTTAGGTAATTGTCACCCACAAAGTTGTCTCGCAATATAGTGCAAAAAACTCCGTTTCTACCATTTATAAAAAAAATTATATCTGATTTTCTTTTGGGGTCCGCGCGGACCCCAGCCGGCTTTCGATCATAATGGATACACTGGCGTTCTTATACATTACTTTATTTCCGTTTTTATATGTTTTTATGCACTCATTGTATGTCTACCAAGTTTTCAGAGAATGGTGTAGTAATAGAATTAAATTTTAATAACTTTGGTGTAATTATGACGTCATATGACGTCAGAGCTAATAATATAG